GGATTTGCCTTGACAGCTTCATCAGACATGGCCACTAAAAATTCACTCCACTTAGCTTCTCTCTTTCACTGAGAATTCTGGGCACATGATTCTTTGGAATGTGAATGACACAGTTAAAAATCACACAGTGGTTCCTTTTCCCTGAAATGGGAAGTGAAGTTATTTACTCAGTCCTGACGGACACAAAGCACTCTTGCTTTTCCTGACATCAAACAAGGCTGCCCTTATTCCACGGGGCTGATGAACAGGGATCATGTACCACTATCCACACTGGGTACTCTCAAGGGCATTATATGTAATTGTCTCCACTCTCCTGAAGAGCTCCCAAGGCTCTTTCTTATAATCTAATGGCACCTCAATTACCCATATCACTTTCTGAGATTTCCTTAAAATCAGGATTGTCATTGTCTGGTCCTCATCACAGGCATCTAGGGTAATAGGCATTGTGTAAAGTCACAGCATCAAATCTTATAACTCCTCAGGAAAAGTATCCTTCTTATAGACCCAGAATGAGCACTTGGTTTCCAGACTGTGTCCCACATCAATATGAAATCACTTCTCCCCATCAATATATGTATCGTTGATATATATAGATATATATCTCACAATAAATATATATATGTATCACACAGCACAAGTTCTTTATTTTTACATACAAAGTGCATATTTCTAGTTATCTGAGCCCCTTTTTAATCTGTTAGAGAATTGGGGTTGAGCGCTTGCTGGGTGGTTAATAATTTCACATTCTCATATGCTATCATTAAAATTTAGGGAACTCCTAAGCCAGTAAAGATGTGTTTGCAAGTGTGTGAAAATAAAAAGGGACTGGAGGTAGTTGCCAAACATCTCATGAATATCTGTGTCAATTACTTTTAGCTTTATGAGGGAGAGACTGAGATGAGGAGATGTTGATTATTCACTTGTGAAAGTGAAAGTGAAGATGCTCAGTCGTGTCTGATTCTTTGCAAACCCATGGTCCTCACCATGGTGGAGGACCCCACCAGGCTCCTCCATCCACGGAATTTTCCAGGCAAGAATACTGGAGTGGTTTACCGTTTCCTTCTCCAGGGGATCTTCCTGACCCAGGAATCAAACCTGGGTCTCCCACATTGTAGGCAGATGCTTTTACCATCTGACCCACCAGGGAAGCTCGATTATTCACTTAGTGAGAACTAAAAAGCTGTAGCCACTCAGATGAGAGACATGGATTTTTTTTTTCCCCCTGCTGCAAAACTTCTACAAAGCACACTGGGTCCTGATGACAAAGTCTCCCCCCAGGGGAAGTATTTCTCTCCCTACCTGGGAAGAAACATCCTGAAACTTCCTGTCCAATTGGACTCCTTTCTGGACGTATGGAAAACAGAAGAGATATCCTCCACCAAGTAAAGCAGCCAAGTGCTAACTGAACGTCGCGTGTTCGAGGGCACCCCCAAAGCTCTTTCACATTTCCAAACACACCAGCAGATCTTAAACCCACTTCCCTCATTTGACCACCATAGAAGAGCTGAGAGTGACTTACCTACCGACTGAGACTGGGGTAAGTAACAGAACACTCGACAAAACTATAACTTGTAAGAAAACAAAATCGTTTTATTTGATACTTATTTTGCATCAGCTACTGCTAAAAAGCAACACAAGTTCTAATTTTCTAATATGCTAGAATCCAAAAACTTCAGAGGTATTTCCCATGGAGAAAATCCTGCAGGAAATGGCCTTTTGAAAGAGAGAAGGGGAAAAAAATCCACCCCTCTGTTTTCCTTAGGGGAAAATGTTTTATTTGTAGTGAACATGAAACAATGATGAAATAGACATTCTCCTGGAACAATCTAAGGATGTTCACTTATCACATGACTTTCTTTGAGTAGTTTAACACAGGACCTTGGTACAAAAAAGAACATAAGTGGGCTATCAACAAATGACGCTAACACTGCACCTAACTTTCTGGAAAAAAAAAAAATTCTAACCAAATCCATTTTGTTGTAATTAGTGATTTACATTTTCAGTACCAACTCCAGAGCACTATTTTAACATCCGGAAAGATAAAATAAGAGCCGGGATTTAGCAAATGCTGAATTCTGAGCACTGTCCTGAGAAAGTGCAAAAAAATTTTCTCTTCGGCCCAATTCTGAGTTGTATTTGCCCAGTTATGGGAACAGGCACTCACTGAGGAATTTTTCACTCATTTGATAAATATTCATTACACAACAGGCAGTGGGGATACAGCCCTAGACGAGAGACTTGGTCCAGGCCATCAAGATGCTCACAACCCAGCAGATAAGGCAAATACAAAGCACACACGGATGTCAATCTGTACGGGGGATCTTGTGAAATGAACTATGGTGTTAAACAGTCACTCCCAGCTTTCCTAACCAAAGGCAAGTTTAGGATAAAAACTGACAGATTACTAAACAAAACGTAGTTCTATCTCACTTTTTTCTGTCTGCACTTTTCGCTAAAACATTTGATGGCTGATCTAACAACCAGAACAGGATTTTGATTCTGGTTCTAGCACTGATGTGTATTAGACTGGTGATCTCTTTTTAAAATCAAAATCCTAAATTTTGGTGTTCCTTTCTTGACTGTGATTGATTTTTTATCACTTCTAGATGGGTTATTCTATTAATCAGATATTCAAAAAGGGTTAGTTTATAATAGACACAGTTTATGTTGTTTCACATAACTTTGAGTTAATTAATAAAGACTTTAAGATTTGCAGACAAATCTTCTATTTTTACACATTTTTAATTTAATTTTACAAAATGTAACGATACCTATCAGGTACTAAATAGCTACTATAAACTAAACAGGTTTTTGTTTCCAGTTTTCTTTCTTTTTTTTTGCCTCACTGTACAGCTTCTGGGATCCTAGTTCCCTGAACCCAGGCCCCCTGCAATGGAAGGGCAGAGTCCTAATCACTGGGCTGCCAGGAAATTCCCATAAATGGGTTTTTTAAAAACACCGTTACTGGTAAACCCTGCCCTCCCCTTAGATCCCTGTAAGGTACTATTAGCCCTATTTGACAGGAAGGAGAACTGAGGGTCTGAGAAGTTGTGTCTCCCAGCACCACACAACTAGCTAGCACTGGAACCTCTGATTATCTGACTGGTTATTTTATTCTCTTTACAGTCCTAAACTGAGCCCAGAGTTCTCACCCACCAGGGCACCAGGCACAATTCCTCATTGGGCAGCATTATAAGGGTGTTATAGTAATACAGCGAAAGCTTTCAAGCAACCAGAGTCCAATCAAACATCCAGGATGCGACAAAACACCGGATTAACACGGGAAATGAAATGTGAAATAACTTCTCAGGTAAAGAGCAAGTCGATGGAGGGTGTCTTTGAAGTCTTTGCTAAGAAGATCAAACCACATCACCCATTGCTATTCAGCAACCTCCTGGCTGTGTGAAACTCCCCGGGAAAGGGGGGGGGAAATCATCTGGCATTAAGTGGGGGTTGGCCTGGAAACTCATCAAGAAACGCTGGGTCGGGAGAGCTCGTGTTTCCCGGTTTTGCTCTGTCTCCAGCAGACCTAGTCCTACAACAGTTCTGCTGAATCAGTGCAGCCAGGTCAACTGTTTAAGGAGGGAGGGATGATTCACCTTTTGAGGGTAAAGCGGGATCACTATCATGATCTCTTTGCAAAACTCATCAGACGTCCCCAGTAAAACATGGAGCGCTTTCTGGGTGAACAGGAATACAAACTTGCAAGTCTAAAAGGTAATGCACACGGATCAAATTGCCCTGCACTAACTCCCTAAAAGCTCCCAGCGTGGTTGGATACCCAAGTGAACAGCGGCGGCTGGCTGACTGCGCCCAGAAAGCTTCCGGCCCCTTCCAGATGGTCAAGGAAGCTGATAGCCACCGCAAGCCTGCGTTCCTGAGGTCAGGCCGCTTTTAGGGGCTGTCCCTCCCCTTCCAGCACAGCCGCCCCACGACACAAGAAATCTGCCGAAACCGCTCCCGGGGAACTCAGGCTGGGGAGTCGCTTCAAAGCACACATGTCCCTTTTGGCTTGGGGGCTGCGGGCTCGCCATTCAACACCCTCCCTACTGGCTTCTAAACACGCCTATGATTAATACTGGTACCCAGGAAAGAGAACTTCTTCTGACCTTGAGCGTGCGCGCTAAATAAATTACCTCGGAACGAAAGTGGTGAGATCTCAGAACAGCATCTGGGGGAGAAAAAAAAGAGAAAAACGAGACTTCAATTAACTCCTTGTTCTTCACCTGCCGAGTCACCGACGACTTACCTGGGGGGCCGGGGGCCGGAAGGCGCGTTCCGGACGCCTCGAACGCAGTGGGGATAGCCCGCAGAGGGGGTTGGCTGCTAGGCCATCAGTTTAGAAGTTTCAGGGAAAGTTTTGGGGGAGTTGGGGCGCCCCGAAGTCTCCCTGCCCCAGGCTCCGACGCCGAGGGGCGCGGGTGGAGGCAGCTGCCGCAGCCCAGACTCGGCTCGGCCGCCCCGGGGGCTCAGGCGCCGAGCCCGAGCGTCCGCCGCCTCCCCTCTCCCGGATCTCTGCGCGCCGCGGGCACCACGACCCGGCGGACCCGAGGAGGCGGCCGGGGCTTGAAACACCGAAGCGCACCGGGCCGGGGGAGGGAGAGCGAGGACGCGGCGGGGGCAGCGGCGCGGAGGGAGCCGCGCTCCCCTCTCCAGACCCGCCGAGCGCTCCCCCCGGCCCCGAGGAAGCCCGCCGCGACGCGCCTCACCTCGGCTCCTTGAACGACCCGAAAAGACCGATTTCATGGGATGCCTCCCTTTCTGGAGCCTGCGGTGCCAGCAGCAGAAGAAGACGATGGTGGCGATGGTGCCTAGCAGAAGCAGCAGGAGGAAGAGGGCACATTGGATGCTATAGGGTCTCAGCAGGACGAGGAACGCGGCGGCGATCATGGTGCGGGCTCGGCGCGGGCGGCCGGCCGGCCGGCGGGCGGGCNCGCCCCGGAGCCGGGGGTAGACCGCAGGGCGCCGGAGGGAGCCTCCGGGCGGTGCTGCCCCCACCTCCCACCCCCTCCCCCCCGCGCCCCGACCGGCGCGGCTGGGGCTTCGGAGAATGCAGCCGGGTGAGCGATTGCTTGCGGGGGGGAGAGGGGGGGTTTCCTGCACGACCATGCGTGAGCCCCAGGCAGGGCCTTCCCTGGGATTCGGGGTTCCCCGGAACAGGGGGCCAACCCCTACCTCTCCGGCCCCCCTGAACTGGACGCGCGCCCCGGCTCGGGTCTGCAGAAATGACCCCGACCACCCCTAACTTGGCACAGTTTCGCAGCCGAGAAGTGGGCACTTGGCATCCCCCTCTATCCATCCATGCGTTGACCCTAAAACCTCGCCTCCTTTAGTGCAGCTGGAGGGAGAGGCAATTTCAGATGTATGGAACCAGCAGATGGAGAAGCTGGAGGTTGACTTGTAAATACTCTAATTTGAGGAGAGATTTTGTAGGGAGAGGGTGGAAATAGTGACCTGTCACATTCAAAAGGCACACACTCCTTCTCTCCGTCTTGACCGCTCCCCTTCCTCCGTCGTCAGCAAAAGGGATCCTGCAGCTGGGGGTTGTCCCGGGCCCGCTGGCGCAGTGCGGACGCGGGCGGCGCGGAGGGGGCGCTGCAGCGGCCGCCGGGCAGCGGCCGCCGGGCACTGGCTCGGAACCAATGGCAACAGCGACCTCGGCCGGCCGGTTCTGCGCCGCTGGCTGCTGCCCCCTAGCCGGGGCTGGTTTTGCTCGTCTGGCTGGGTTTTGTTTTATTTACTTGAATAATGAAACAGCAATTAGAATGACAAGGTAACCCATTACTACATGTGTGGAGTTTCTGCCAACTACTAAGGTGAACTCAAATATTTAGGAGGCTGAAGAAATCGTGTAATTGTGTAAAATTCTGGAAAGCAGTTAAAGAATTGATGGCAATTCTTGTTTTGTTACTTGCTTGTAGGATATAAAAATCCGTGTAGTTTTCTAACTATACATAATCCACTGTTCAGCTCTGCATAAAGGCTTAACTCTTGATGTTCTTAAGGCTTTTAAGCATCATCACATCTAAGCGTTATGGACACTCAAAAAGGCATTGCCCAGCGCATGTCTTAAATGCGATTCATCACCACGGGAGACATGGGTTTGAGTTTTTCTTATGGACATCTTGTTTCTTAAAACAACATGTTCTGGTTTGAAGATGGACCTTGCTTGCAGTGGTTGTGTAAAGTGAGAATGGTGGGTCAGAGTGCCGGCAGGATGGGTTTACCAGCAAGGTCTCAGGCTCTTGGGCTGACAGGTAGCACTGTGTCTGCGCAGGTAGCTCGAAGGTTTCCTGATTCTGCAGCCACTGCAGTGAGACACCGCATTCCCATCCACTGTGCAGAGGGCACCGAGGAAAAGTCTGGGAGCCTGCCCTGAGGGGCACACCAGGAAAGGAAGAATTCCTTATCCCGTTGCTTCGCAAAGGCGCAATGCAGTAATTTAAAGCAAGAACAAAACTGAATTAACCTTTTGCAAACATTGGGAGAAATATCTCACAGAAGATAGGAAAGTCATCTTTACTTTATCCTTCTTATTGAGGAAAATTTCTGAGTGAGCAGAAATGGCCTAATTCTCCTTGAAACATGCCTAAGAGCACAAACACAGCATAGTAACCAGTTTGCCCCAAACTGTGCATTTATAACAACAAAAAGCAACTAAATAGCAATTATGGTTTTCTGAGCTATAACGTGAGCACAACTGTTATCATCCTGAGTCTTACTGCAGCCATTTGTAAGTTTCAAGTGCATACAAGAACATCATTTATCTCTTTTGGCAGGCAAATACTTTACTGCCCTGCAGTTAAGATTATAGATACTTCGTTTTAGAGCTGTTCATTTCTGTTCTTTGCATCAGTAATCTCAAGGATACTAATAATAAGCTAACCAAATTGTTGAAAGAATTTAGTATTTAGGTTCTATCGTTATTTTCTGGCTTGTTTGTTGCTAATTTATCATCCCCTTCTCCAAATGATGGCATGTTATTAATTGCTTCTTTCTGTGTGGTTGTGCAATGCTAATGCATTGTGGAATTCAATAAATATTAAATCAGCCAATCAATCCTTTTGGAAGTTAATTTAGTAGAATTCACACCTATTCTTTCCAGTAGGTTTCTATTAATAAAGAATAATTGATATTATAGCAAAATCACAAATTTAAAGTTTGGAGGTAGCAATGGAGGAGGATGGTCTTTCATACCTTGGAATGAAAACTCAAGATGGAAATATATATATAATTTTTTTATTTTTATTATAGTGAGTTAGCACTGTCATCCAAGATAAATGAGTTGTGAAAATTAGTTAAGAGAATTTGGTATCAGGTATGTAGATGATACATTCTGCAGCCCTTTTTCCCTTTAGATTTTCAGCCAAATTGAGAACACATACAAGGATTCAAAAGGAAATTAAGAGCCTGGCTTAGACTCAGGGCCAAGATGGAGCATCTTATCCCTTTTCCCCCTAACTCTGCTGACCTGCCCAGTCACAACTGAAGAAGTGTAGGCCTTCCCAATACTAAGGCAGGAAGGAAACCCTACCTGTACTGCTGCTCACCTGAAGACTCAAAGGAGCCTGACACTCCCCAGTCCCCATGGCCTGCAGCACAGGTGAGCAAGAGACAGGACCATCTGTGAGAGGGACCTTCCCTAACACCAGCCCTGCCGGTAGTGGTCCCAGCCCCTCCCCAGGGACCCTCATCATTGAGTCATTCTTCTCCCAAAGATAAATATGAGTAAGGGGCTTAATAAGGTGACAGAAACATCTTCTACAGTACCTCCCTAGAGGTAGGAATGGCACGAATTCCTCATGTGTGCATCACACAGGAAACATTGAGAAGTGTCTTCACCTAAGCTGCGTGGTGACCAGTTGAGGAAAAGACAGGGATTGCAGATGACTCAGGTTTGGGGCTTGGATGAAGGAACAGTTGTGAAGGCAGAGAAGACAAACTGAGGTTCAGACCCATTGAGGAGCAGAGTTGTCAGAAAGTCATCCATGTGAAATTACCCACGGAAACCCGGCTGGGGAATCAGAAGCAGAGAAGGGTGAGAATTGCACACATCAATTATAGTTGAAGTCACGCAGGTGGACAGAATTACAGAGGAAGAGAAAGTGTAGAAAGAACTGAAATCTATTGAGGTCTATCCTGATGGGGCTTTTTTGTAAACCTACATTGCTGGAAATGCCTCATAGAGTAACTATGGTTTCCTTTAATCATAGGACTGTGTATTAGATCTGTGGTAAAGAACTGTAAGTCAGAACTGCCAAGTAAACTATGAAAAACTTAATGATCAAACTTTTTTTTATCATAGATATTGGTACATCCCAATGATCTGTACTGTTCTAGTGTGTGATAGCTTAGGAGTGAATATGATCTGAACTTCTTGCATTCATAGAAGGTGTCTAAAATTCAGAACCATGCAGATAAATCTCCTGACCCTAAACATGGTAAATTGCATGAGGAAATTGGATCCCAAAGATTACAGATGAGGAACTTTCAAGCGTGTCCATATTCCATTGGAGAACAAAGAAGCCAAGTAAAAGAATTGTGGGCAGACTGACATGAAAGCTGTGGATTGAGCAAAACTTCTTTTTGAAAGGGTTATTTTGAAGATTCTGACTCTGGAGAACTATGGTGATTGGTAGTGGAAAGAATCAGAACACGTGAAATTCCTTAAAAATTTATTGAATAAAATGATTTTTCCTGTTCCACATAATAATAATAATTTTAAAAAGAAAACGTTTACACTTTGTGCAGAAAGGAAAAAAAAAGGAACTAGAATCAGAACTTTGGAGACATCTAACCACTTGTGGGCTGGAAAATGAGAGCAGGAAGTGTTTCCGGTTCAGAGGCTTCTCAAGCCAGGTGCACATCCGGAGTAAGGAGTCAGAGCACTGAAGACCAGTGGTGAAGAGCCCTCTGCACACCTTCCAGGGAACCGGTTCATGACACTGGGAGAGGCTGAAACCAGACAGGAGGGGGTCGGAGAGGGACTGGGATGTGGAGAAGAGTCAAGAGCGATGTCTACAATCTTTGGAGCAATTTAGCTCTAGAATGCACCGGCAGAAATGCGATAAAGCCCAATAATTGTGCTTTCGTCAGAATAGGATGCAACTTGGGAGAAGGAGCCAATAGTGGAAGAGAAATTGAGAGTTGAAGGGAGAGGAGAAGACGACCGCCTCTCCCATGTGCTTTGTGGTTCAGCTACTTGTCCTCAGGCCCCCTGAGTCTCCCAGACCTGTTTTTTCTGCTCTCGGGCTGCCTCTGACTCTACAGAGTTAAAACTGGCCCTGACTGGTTGTGATGGCTCCCTACCCCAACCCCTCCCCACCTGCCCTGGCTACTAATGTTCAGATAGAAGAAGGATTTTTAGGGAAAGAGAAAGAATGCCTTGGAATATCGCTGAGACTATTTGTAAGCGTTTATCACAAACTTCGGTGAAAGTGAGTGGGTGACCTGATTGGTAATCATGCAGAGATATTCCACTGGAATGTTACCCCGGAAAAAAAAAATTTAGGTAAGAATGACTCTAGCAATAAGTTACTTAAAATCATACTGATGTTGGACCGATGACCTTCTTGATTGAACTCGTTTACTTAGAAGTCGGTGGTGTGAAAGGAATTGGGAGGAATCTGAGAAAGGTTGTATGCTTGTTCATTCCCAAGTGGTTTTCCTGACAGTCTGAGACCAGGGCCTGTGCCAACCGTATACATGCCCTTGAATTGAAAGTCCAAGGAGCCACATTATTTGGGAGCATCACTACAGCATCTAATATAATCTAGGAGGCAGTTTCCATCCACCAGGATCAGGAGAGCCATCATAGGAATGGATCACTATTCTCTTTTAAAATTTTGCATTGGAAGGTAATAGAATTATACTTTGCAATGAATATCAAATATTATTTGTAGCAAATATGTCCTGTAAAAGATCTTTTTTTTACCATAATAAAAATTTGAAAAATAAAAGCATCATTATAAGAGAAAATATTTTATATGATATCATCCCAAACTGTTCTTTTATGTTTTAGAAATTTTAGAGCCTCATTAGGATTTGTTGTCCTAGCGGT